TCAGCAGGGGAGGGTGTCTAGAGAATGGAGCACCCTGCATTCCCTGGGGGCATGACCCAGGGCGGGTGAAGAGGGTGCTATGCCCCTACCTGGGGGGCTGCTGTGGAGCCTGCAGGGTCGGGGTGTGAACAGGCTAGAAATCGCTTCCACCCCCCACCACTCCAGAGCTTAGCTGTGGGGCAGAGAGGCTTCCCCGTGCCAGTGCTGGGCGAGGCTTTGGTACATGCAAGGCTTGGCTCCCCTGGCCAGTGCCCTGGGCTGGAGGGTCTTAGGCTTTCCCAGGGCGCCGGCCCAGCCGCAGGCAGTGGGGGAAGGAAGGAGCCTGCCGGCCAGGCTGCTGGTGAGCTGAGTGCTCCGACCAGGGGCTGGTTCTCCGCCCAGCGCTGAGAGTGGGACGCACCCCGCCGGCGGGGATATGGAGGAGCAGCAGGGCTGGGGCGGTGGAGTGAAGGGGCAAAGCAGGGAGAGGACAGTGAGAGGAGGAGCACATAAAGGGCTGATGGGTGGGAATGGGATTTTCTGGCTACTGCTGTGGTGTATTGAAAACTGTGTTAAAATTACAATCAGTCACTTTAAGTCCTGAGGGAGGGGGCTCCGTAGCGAAGCAAGCATGTGATTGGTGTCAGACAGCAGACAGCCAGCATAGAGGAAGGTGTGGGGACTTGTTCCCCTCTGTTTTAGGGAACAGCATGGGTGGTGGGTACCATAAGCCAGGGGAGGCCAAGCCTCCCCTAACCCAGGCCATGCCCCCCCATTGCTCTGCTGGGAGACCCCGCCCTTCTTCCCCCCTTTCCCTGAAGCCAGCAGGGGCTCAGCTCCAGCCAAATGGCCAGGGCTGCTCAGGCCAGCCTTGGGATCTGACTGGTGCTGGGGCCGACCAGCAGCCCCGTGCTCGGGGGTTGGGCCGACTGGTGGCTTGGGTCTCTTCCAGCCACGGGCGAGCCAGACCTCTGGTGGTGGTGGGTGGAAGGGGCGGGGCCAGCAGGCTAGCCTCCCCAAGGGGGGCTTCACCTGCCGCCCAGGGGGAGCAGCCTGTTTGTGACCGTTCTGAATTCTAAGCAATAAAGTTGTGTTACGTTGCCAACTTCCTGCAAGATATGCTGTGAAACATAACACCTGCTTCCCACGGCTGGCTGGGAATCCCAGCTGGGTTTTAAGCCCCAGCTCTGGCCTGTTATTCAATCGTCTGAGAAGGGCTAGCCGTCCTTGGGAGGTAGAAAGCGGAAAAGGGGCAGCTGGGGTGCAATTCACACCACCTTCTCTGTGTAGCCTTGGACATGTACACACAACCAACCGGGTTATGGGCCAAACTCACCTTTTCCCCAAGCTTTGCCTTTACAGTGTTACCAACAGTGTGGCACCCTCTGAGGCAAAACAACAACGTCTTGGGATGTTGCCAAAAGCTCCAGCTAGCGTGTGATTTGGGGAAAGTGAAACAGAGGGAGGCAGAGCCACCTAGGTATTGCACTTTGCCGAGGGAAAGAGGCACTCAGCTGTAAGCCCAGCACCCATTCTAATCCACACCCTGTGCCAGCCACAGCCCAAGTTCCTGTCTTGGGGATAACTCTCATCCCCTCCATTTCCCACCAAAGACAATTGAGAGTTTGCGTAAGGGCACATCGGAAGAGCTGGGAATAGAACCCAGGTCTCAGACAGAGCAGTGGCTTGTATTCCGTTGCCTTTTGGTAGAAACGCACAAAACTGTTTGCTAGGAACTGGGAATGGGCTACGGGGGATGGATCACTGGATGATCACCTGTTCATAGAATCATAGAATATCAGGGTTGGAAGGGACCTCAGGAGGTCATCTAGTCCAACCCCCTGCTCAAAGCAGGACCAATCCCCAACTAAATCATCCCAGCCAGGGCTTTGTCAAGCCTGACTTTAAAAATATCTAAGGAAGGAGATTCCACCACCTCCCTAGGTAACGCATTCCAGTGCTTCACCACCCTCCTAGTGAAAAAGTTTTTCCTAATATCCAACCTAAACCTCCCCCACTGCAACACTGTTCTGTTCATTCCCTCTAGGGCACCTGGCATTGACCATTATTGGAAGACAGGACACTGGGCTAGATGGACCTTCAGTCCAACCCAGTATGGCCATTCTTATGTTCTTAAACTGAGTGCTTCTGCGGCTCACTCCCCAGCAGCTAGACCGCATCTAGATGTTTGTGACTCTGCTTCAACTTCTACACTAAGAGATTTGATACTTTGCATCCAGTAGCAGCAGCTCCTGCTTGGCCATGCAGCGGTCCCAGGTCCAGGGGCCCATTGGGCATTGGTGCTGTCTGGCCCATAATCTGCACCTGGAGCCAGGAAGCAAAACCAAGAATCTCAACACTTGCTGCCCAACAAATGCTTGTGTAACGAGCTGGCAGAGTGAGTGCTTTGCCTCCCTGTCTGGGCGGGGCCACATTCAGGCTGACGGCACCCTTCCCCTATTGCCGATCGCTCCCACCGAGGATGAGCGCTGTGCTGCGGATTGGGTGGTTCTGGGTTCAGACCCGGGAGATGGCAAGAAAAGCTGCTTGTATGTTTCATTGTTGGTGTAAGGCCCCTGCAGTCATTGAGGGAATGCTTTGATCTCGCATGATCTTTAGATGTAGTTGTGGGGGTTGTGCTGATAGCTGTTCTGCGGTGGCCCTTCTAATCTCTGAGGAGTCCAGTGGCGCTTTAAAGACGAACAGATTTATTTGGGCATGTATGGGGGGAGACAGAAAATATGGGACAATTTGACTGCTTTTAAGAAAATGTTAGGACACCCGCAGGAGGGCTTAAATACCGGCCTGTCCCTTTAAAAATGGGACGTCTGGTCACCCGAGCGGCCGATGTCTGGGAGTGGTGGCTTTGAGTGGCAGTCCAAGCAGATGCCTTGAACCAAAGGCTTTAATGAATTAGATGGTCATTTCTTTGGGGCAGGGACTGTCTCTCTGTCCTTTTGTGGGTAAAAAACCTACTTCTTCAGATGCATGGCACCCATAAATAGGTGAAGTTCACACCACCTCCTCTCATGCGTCTGAAGAAGTCGTTTTTTTTTACCCACAAAAGCTTACGCCCAAATAAATCTGTTAGTCTTTAAGGTGCCACCGGACTCCTCATTGTTTTTGTGGATACAGATTAACACGGCTACCCCCCCCCCCGATAAGTCTAATCTCCATATGTTGGGTAATGGGAACTATCTCTTTAAGAACAGGATGGGGCATGTGACTGGTTTGGAGGTTTTCCCTGGGTGAGAGCGGGGCTCCCTGCCATGGGGGGCGGGGGGGAGGGGTGGGCAGCCCAGGAAAGAGTAGGACTCGATTTAACCAAGGAATCTTTAACCAAGCTCCTTCCGCACCCACCCCTGCCCCAAGCACAAATTCAGAGCAGGGCCCCCTCACTATCCAAGCGCTGATCAGAACTCCCAGCCCTTTGACTGATTTGTAGGAAGATTCTTTGGCCTGGGTAATACAAGGGGTCAGACTAGAGGGTCCGAATGACACAGGAGCCGACTCCATGGGTGCTCTGGGGCTGGGTGCTCAGCACCCATCAGCCACAGCTGTCCCGTGAGGCTGCCAATCAGCTGTTTGGCGGCTGGGGGAGGTGCTTGGGGGAGGGCGGAGAGCTGGCAGGCAGGGGCCTCGGGGAAGGGTGGGAAGAGGCAGAGTGAAAGTGGGGTCTCAGGGGAGGGGGCGGAGCAGGGTCAGGAAGAGGCAGAAGGAGGGCAGGGCCACGGGGGAGGGGGCGGAGTGGGGGGCGGGGCCTCAGGGCAAAGCACCTCGGGTTAAAATAAAACTCAGTGCCTATGCAGAATGGGCCTTACTCCAAATCAGTCAAAGGGCTGGGAGTTCTGGGGCCTCACTCCCCTCCCCGGGGGCTGTCATTTACCCCAGTGCCATGTGAGTGTGAGATGGTACCAGGTCAGAACAGCAGGGCCTGATTCTTAGTTCCATTAACGCCGCTCTGGCAGCATAAAGGGGGCATCCGTTGTCATCCCACAATGTTGCCAGATTGCATGACTTTATCACAAGTCTTGCAATATTGGATGTTTTACATAAAGTCCCAGCTCCTGGAGTCAGGGCATGATGGGAGACTCTCAGCTGTCTCTCTTTTTTTTCTTTTTTTAAAGTAAGTTTCTAGCCCTGCTGGCTGCAGAGAAGAGCCCAAGAATGTGACCCTGGAGGCTCAGAAACCAGAGACCCAATGGATTGAACCCAACATGTATTCTTTAAAAAAATGAATAAATACAAATCTCAAGCCAATCTCGTGATTTTGGCATGTTTGGGGCTGTCATGGCAGATCATACCCACGTTAAGGCCCCTTTGTGCTTCCAGTGCGATGCAAAGATGTAAGTAAGACGCAGGCGGGTGGGGTTTGGGATTACCATGCCCTGGTATAAGCAGCTGTGATAGGTGCCAGGGCAGGGAGAGCCAGGCCCTGTGAATGATTCCCAGCCTGTCCTGCCCACCTTCCCTCCACGCCCACCATCCGGAACCTGCCACCAGTCTGGGGATGCTCACCCAGGTGGCTGCCTGGGTGTAACTGACCTGGTGCTAAGCCCCAAGGTGATGCCCTGCATTATACCATATGCAGTGCTCTGCAGAGCCTTTGTACTGCGTTAACTGACACCGGTGCGAACAGACAGGGCCCAGCACTGACACCTGCTAAGCCCGGCTTCCTGCGCCCTTTAAATCCACAGAGCTCTCCAGGGACTGGGGACTGGTGAAATCCTGCACTGTTCCTGTTGTTCTCCATCCCCCACTTTCCCTGGGAGCGGTAACATGACCCTATCTGAGTGAGGGATTGATTTCCACCTCATTAACTTTCCTCTCAAACTTTCACTCTCCATCCTCCCTCTCCCGCCCCTTGCGTCCCACCTTTCACTGCCAGTTCTTTCTTTCTTTCTTTCTTTTTCTTTCTTTCCCTTTTTCTTTTACACTCCCCAGCTCCTCCCACCCCCCTGAGCCCCTCCAATCACTGCCAGCCCCATCCTTCTGCGATAGGGCCCTCGGGAATGTCAATCAACTCCCTTTGCCACCCCCTCCTTTTAAAAAATAATCCTTTCATTCAATTGAACTTGAACAAAGTTTTGTAAGAGGGGAAGGAAAAAAAAGAGGCATGAAATAGATGGGAGACCAGGGCTTTTCAGAGCCTCTTATCTGATTGTGGAAACAGCACTTAAGAGCCCTTGCCCCCGCGCCACTGCAGCTGAACCTTGGCAGTTTAGGGCACCAACTTTACCCCGCTCGGCTCGCAGTGTGAGAAAGTTTTGCACACCACTGCTCCGACCGGGCGAAGGGGGGATCGGGTCGTTTTCATCTCAGGTTCCACCACAGTCCAGCCATCGTGGACCCCGCCTGCGAACTGTCCCTCTTCCTCTGGACTCAAGGTAAGGGCAGGATCCATTCCTAACTGGGGTGAAGGCGGAGCAGGGCATGGTTCTGCGTTGCACTCTGATTTGATGGCCTGGACTCCTCATGGGTGCTGCTGCTCAACTGGCGTTACCCTGACTTGGACCTTCCATTCCGTCAGATGCCAAGATGATGGTAGGCAGAGAGAGAGAGAAAGAGACAGGCTGATTCTGATTGTGCTGATGCTGGTTTTACACTGAGGTGCATTTCAGTGGGATCTATCCTGCTTTATACTGGGGTAAATGAGAGCAGGATCAGGGCCGGAGAGAGAGGGGGGGGTAGAGGGATGTAAGAGAGAATATAGCAAAACCTTTAGAGAGACTCAAACTTTTATTTGAAGTGCAGGCAAAGAGTGGAAAGTCTTTCATTCACGACAAAAATCTCCTGTAATCAATATGTCTTTGGGATCCCAGCTGACCCCCCTGCCCTGTGTCAGTCAGCTGTGAAGTTCTGTAGCCCGAGTGTTTACTCTTTTGCATGTCTGTGTGTGCAGGGGCGGGTGGGATCCCACCAGACAGCCCTCCCTGACTGCCCTCTGCCAGCCTGACATTCCGGGCTGCTGGAACGGGATCCATCCCCGGCCCGTATGGCCGACCCCAGTGCGGCCTCCTTGTCGGGCTGGGATTCCTTTCGCAGCGGGGAGCGGGCACGGACTGATGAGTAGGTGCCACCGCAGCCAGTTTTTGGGGGGAGATCGGGTCCTGCAGCTCTGAATTCACAGAACCCGCCATCTGGAGCTTGCTTCGCAGCTGCCCACACTGGAGCCCCAAAGCAGGCACCCTGGGCTCCCCCTGTCACCTCCTCCGCCCACCTCCCCTTCCCCTCTCTTTGCATCTGACATGGGCCCAGCAGCTGGAGACGGGCAGCTGGAAAACCGCTGCCCTCATTACTCTGCCCTGCCTGCGTCGCGATGGCTACAGGGCCAAGTGCCTGCACTCGTCCCTCAGCGTGACTTGGTGACAAACACAGGTTTGGGTCCATGGTTCGTGAATGATGCCGTTAAATGTCCTCCAGGCTCCCAACAATTGGCTCGATCCAGCTGGTAACGGCACAATTATTAGAGGACCCCAGCCGAGAGCAGGGGCTCCCTTAGGTGCTGCAAAGTCACCTCATGAGAGAGGGACCCCAAAGTGCTCACAACCCACTGGCAGAGGAGAGATTATTATCCCCACTTGACGGCTGATGGGGAGAGATTAAGGAAAGTGTCCCAGGCTGTCCTGGGCAACTGTGGCAAAGCCGGGAACTGAACCCCGCTCTCTAGATTCCCTGCTCGACTCTTATGCTACAAAAGCATCCATCCTCTCCTTGTTTAGGTGGAAGCCCAGCCCCATAAAGGCCGCACCTGCCCTGCCTCCCCGAGGCATGATGCGTGGGTGAGTTGGATGCTCTGTCCTGAATTGCTCAGAAACAGGCACACAGCTGCCGATTGCCCATCCTGCCTGGGCTGAAAAGGTGGAGAGGGGGCAGAAAAGGGCCATGCAAACCATCTGAAAAAGGCTTCTCGTGAGAGACATACAGAACTCTGGTTGTTTACCTGATCAAAGAGAAGATGGAGAGGTGACTTGATTACACTGTAGGACTGCTTTCCCCGGGAGAAAATAATGGATGCTAATGGGCTCTTTGATCGAGGAGAGAAAGGCCGAATCAGAGCCAGTGGCTGGCAGCTGAAGCCGGATAAATTCCAGTTAGAAATTAGGCCCACATTTCTAACCAGGAGGTTGGTTCGGCCTTGAGACAAACTCCCAGGGAAGTGGGGACACTGCCTCTCTTGATATCTTCAAACCAAGACTGGCTGCCATTCTGGAGGAAATGCTTTAGCCAGACACAAGTTACTGGGCTCAATGCAGGGGAAACTGGGTGAAAGTTCCTGGCCTGTGATATGCAGGGGGCCAGACTAGATGATCTAATGGTCCTTTCCGGCTTTAAATTCTACGATCTACGACCCTATCATGCTGGGAGGCTGTGCTGCATTATACAGACATGCCAGCCCCACCGTGCTCATTTCTAAAGATATCCCTAAAAGGGCCGGGCTGGAGCGCGAATGGCTTCTCTTGAGATAACCGACCAGGTGAAAGGTTGGGCCTTTATTGTGGACATCGGCTCCCCAGCAGGGTCTGCTTCCCATCTCCAAAGCCCTGGACGGGGTGAGGCAGTTCCAACGCCTTAATTGTTTTATTAGTGCTGGGTGAGAAGTACAGCGCCAGGTCTGTGAATGCCACTTCAGAGCCTTAACTGCTTTGTGCTTCCTCTCGTCCCTATGCGCTAGTCATTCGTGCCAATGGGATTTTGTTTGAATCCAGGTCTGGGGACTGGCTACCCTAGTGAAACAGGGGTAGAGGTGAGCAAATCAGAGAATCCCCTGCTCATTATTCTGCCAGGGGTCTTCAGTCCCAGAAGGAGGAAGGATGGTCAGTGGTTCAGGCACTAGGTGATAACTCAGGTTTCCTCTGGCTCCCTGTGTGACCCTGGGCCAGTTAATTCTCAACAACTGGGGCCAGATTTTTAGGTGCAGCACAGTGGGTGCTAAGCGCATACAAGGAGCTGTTGCTGACTCTGGCACTTTTATCCCAAGTCTCACGTTTACTCGCTGTTTTTCTTCAAGCCCCAGCTGCTGGAGTCAGGTGATGACATGAGCCTTTCAGCTGTCATTCAGTACTAAAGTTTATAGCTCTCACAGTTAGGGAGAAAAGCTGAACATTGTGGCCCTGAAAGGCTCACAACCCAGAAGGCAAAGAAACAGAACCCACAATGTATTATTATTATTTGTATTCTCATAATTTTTAAGCCAATCTAAAGTGATTTTTGGGGGGCCCGGCTCATGGTTTTTAAAGGCTTAGTGTTGACAAGATTGTAGCTGGGGCATGCTGGTGAGCTCTTGAGAATCTGCTCCCCCTCTATCTATCTATCCCCATTCACCCCATCTATCTATCTATCTATCTATCTATCTATCTATCTATCTATCTATCTATCTACTGCACTTGAGCACCTCACAGATACTTAAAAAATCATCTTTCTTTCCAAGGCTGTACAAAATCTTGTACTATATTGGGTGTTGTGTAAGTAGATGGGTGTTTTGTGGTGGGGGGTTTGTTGTGTGAGTGAGTAGATGTGTTGTGGGATGTGTGTGTAAAATATATCAAGGGAAAGTGCAGTTGAAGAAACCAGTTTTCCTATAGTTCTGAGCATAGTAAGGCCTGTGGCCTCTTCTTTCCAGTGGCCGCCGTGAGTTCCTCAGTCTCGCTTTAACCCCATGACCATTCTGCTTCCTACGCTTATGAGCCTTCCCCCACCCCCCACCCCCATTGCTTCCTGACTCCATTGTACTGTAGCTGTCATGGCAGGTCCTGGTTGTGGGCTGGGGTATATTCTCACTGGTCCCACAAAGGGCTCTGAAGAGCAGGACAGATTTGGCTGGACCCTGGGAGCTGGTGCAGAGAGGGCAGACCTGGCAGGACATGTTGCTGAGTAGATGTGCTGTACCAGGGCATGTGGCCTCCCTTGCCACCCCTAGTAACTGGAGGCCCGGCTCTGTGCTGGCTCCGAACGAATCGTTGCTCTGGGCATCCTGTGTCTCTGTGTCCTTTGGGTTTTCACTGCCTTCCTTGTGCCATTGGGCTGAGCTTTTCTTGCTTCCCGTGTTTGACAGCATCCCCACCCCCAGCACCAAGAAAAGGCAGCATCTTAGCCCCCTGCAGCCCCTTGTCTGCAAAACCATCACCAACAAGGGGGCAGCAAGATGCAGGTGGAAGCAGCACACAGAGAACTGACGGGGAGTGTGGGGCAGCTCTTATGGGTGTGAGCTGGCTCCGAACAGACAGAAAGGAGCTCACTTCATCGCCCCGTGCCTCAGTTTCCCCATCCGTACAGTGGGGATAATGGCCCTGTGTTGACTCCCAGGGGGTCTGTGAGGAGGAATACAGTAAAGATTATGAGGTGCCCAGACACTAGGTGACAGACAAATTACTTGCACAGCTGCATATATGGACTTGGCAGAGGCAAACACATCCACTGTTTTGAAGAGTTTACAGTGTAGGAGGGGCAGGACAGGCATGTGGGGAGGGCATGGGGTTACAGATGGGGAAGAAGTGGTTATTATGGTCATTACATTTGGCCCTTAGAATCCCTAGCCCTCAGAGTGCTTCATGACACAAATGGGGAAACTGAGGCACAGAGCGGGGCAGGCCTTGCTCACGTTCACACAAGAAGGGAGTGGAACAGCTCCCCAGTTTCCCCAGTCCCGGCCCTGTGCCCCTACCCCCTGGAGCACACTGGCAAGCTGGGGAAGGGGCTGACAGAGGGTGCCAAGCCAAGAGTGGGAGGGAGGATCAGGAGGAGCATCGGTATCTCGGGGCACAGGTGGGCTGGGCAGAGGAAGTGAGACCGGAGATGCGGGCGGCGGTGAGATCACACAGGGCCCGGTGGGTGAGGATGAGTTGCCTGAGCCAGCTGGGATCTAAGGCAAACAGCCAGCGTGGCAGGTGAAGGAAGGCCAGAGTGGGGTGGGAACGGGGCAGAGACCCCAGCAAGGAGCAGTCAGTGACCAAGGGGCAGGCAGAGCCTTCAGCAGCTGCCAGCCGGGCCGCTCTGTTGAGGAAGAGGCCGGATGACTCTGCAGGGTGTGTGCCACAGGAAACGGGCAGGCTGAGGGATTAGGAGGCCAGTAAAGGCCTCATCTGTTTGCCTCTCCCTCCCCACCACGTGTGGCACAGTCCCCCGGCTGCAGGGCCCACTTTGGCACGTCTCTCTGGTGAACCAACTTCAGATCACGACTGCCAAGGAGGCCAAGGGGTTTGGGTGGCCCTGACTGGGAAGCCCAGCTTGAGGGGCCTCAGGCCCGACCTTCCCTTGCCCTGCCCCTCAACACGACAGCTGGCACCCTCTCCCAGGGCAGCAGCAAACACAGGACTGCAGGACACACCATTGCAATTTCTTAAAAGGCCAGACCCACTCAGCACTGACAGCTCCCCTGGCTATCCAA